CTACGCTGATTGTTTAGCACTGTGGCCATGTCCTGAGATATAACACATCAGATATATACATTATTCGTCGAGGTACAGACAAATCAAGTGGTTAATTGAAGAACCGCTGTATTTCCTTTTCACCGTTCCCTTGATATGCCTACGACGGAGTTCAGTTATCTGCTTTAATCGACGGTGAAGCTCTTTTGTTTGAACACGTTCATCTGAAGTTAAGTCTTAATGAACTGTATTGATTTTTTTTCGAATTTCCTCTATTAATGATTTTCACTTCCTCATTCATGATTAAAGGCAATGAAAAAGGACGTTATCAAACCCCTTATTTACCGATGCGTTTCGACGCCTTATACCACCGTCATCACCAGGGTTACAAAACACAATGAAACCGCACGATTTTAAGTTACAATATTGAAATCGAAGTCAGAATTAAACAGAGTACTTCGGGAATGAAATCTTTCGAATCTACCACAAAATGGGTCATTCAATGGGACTGCAGATCTACCAAAGGCTTCGTCAATCGCAGAGGCGAATGCGGTTTAAAAAATTTAGTGCACGCCTGGCCTCATAAAGTATCGATCGATACAGACAATATTTGCATCAAGAAAACCATCCGGAGAAAGAGACCGTAGCAGCCTTTCACCTAACAGCAATGAGAAATTAGCACTCTGGCATCGTTTAATGTATTTCTACTTGAAATATTACTTTAATCAAACAAGTTTCACTTCCGTTTATAAGGAGATAACAAACATTGGGCTATTAATTAGCGAATCTTTGTACATGATGGTTAACAACAGCCTACTCTCTGAAGAATGTAAGAGTTCATATAATTTGATTGACAGCTGGATCGGTCAGCTTGTTCGAAAGATTTAATGGAACAAACGTTATTAAGATTCCATATTTTACATAACTCTTCTTAATATCGTGCTGTCTCATTTGTATATTACAAACCTGATAATGACACGTGTGCATCGTTGGTAAATACAGAATTTTAAATCGTGCTTTCTAATTATTGCCTATGGATCAAAAAGCGATGATTGAACAATTACTATTCATGTAGGCAACAGATCGATGCGTCCTTTCATGACTAATTTACCTAGTGTAAAGTAATTTCGTTCCTACGTCCACTTTAAGCAACTTTAAACACGAAGCACCGATATTCTTATATTAAGCTGTGGATGCCACGTTTTCTGAATTTACTTGGTTTTAAAATAGGTAAATCGTCGTCCAAAACGACCATCTGCTGATTGACATCCGTCTGAAGGTCATAAAGATTTTCCCACTGGTCGAGGAGCACCTTCTCGTTGAAATCCATATCGGTGCTGCTAACGATATTCCGCCGAGCTCTTGAATCGTTCGCTAAGACGATTGTCATTTTATCGTCTAGCTTTTCCCCGGATCCATCGAAGTCTGAAAACTAGTGCCTGTAAGAAATAGTAGTGGTATGGCAAGGTTTACCTGAAGCCATTGTCACGTTTTGTTTAATCTCTGATGGAGTCGAGAGGGTAGTCGTTGTGCCGATGCTGTCGTTCACAGCTAGAAGTTGCTCTACCTTAGAAGGAGTCAACTCATTTTCACCAATAACGCCCATAGTTCTTTCCACCTGTTGTTTTATGGCCATTAGGCCACCGTTTGGTGCGGCAACGGCAACTTCGATTGTTTTGTTGTCTGAGTCACGCTGGTTATCTTCAGTCAAATTCCTTATCAGTTGAATCGTGGAAACGTTACTCGCGTCGGCTGTAAGATTTTCGCTGCCGATCCTCAGTGCTTCCTCAGATTCGGAAAGTTTAACCTCATTCTTAGAGTCAACACTTTTCAATGCGACTACCGTGGATTTTGCGTTCGCACTCGAGCATCGTGGAGGCTAAACGCAGCAGCGTCAAATAAATACCTTAAAGACTAAAGATACACGTAGTTTTACCAAGATTTCGTCACATTGCCCTTCTTGTTTGAAGCACAGCTTCATTTGGCAGTGAAACCGGACATCCATAATGTCGGCAAATTTGAAAACCAACGTTTTCTGTTCAGCTCTCGTTAATTCTTTATTGTACACTGGTGTGTCAATGACATAGTCGTCCAACGTACAACTAAATAGAAAAATATTAAGGCCAGGGCTAGGCGTTAAATCTTGATCTCTATGAATGAGATTAGATTATAAGTGAGTATTGAAAGAGAGAGCAGTTTTTTTATGCACTGGCAGTCACATAAAACATCGATTAAATACACTGTGCATCACAACGCTATATCGACGGTTTTTCAGCGGATATACCGGACACTAATGTTCTGGTCTGTGTTTTATAGCTGGAAAGCTCTTGTGCAAATTTGAACAGAAACAAAAATGATGGGAAACCAGTCTGCATAATTTTTGACGATGGCAGGCATCTAGCAGGCAGAAAACAAATTCATCATACAACGTATTACGAGAATAAATCGTCTATATCGCATTATAAAACAAGCTGTCTTATCTTTTTGAACATATGTCGCTAAACGAGGACGTTGTGAATTAAACGGAGGCGAAAGTGACGATTGAAGTGTTTTATTTGTATATGTGTGGTTCTAATTCAAGACAAGCCGTAATTTATTTGATATACTGCTCATTCTCTCAGGCACATTGCTTGATCGATATAGACTCTGAATGACTATGGACCTTGACCGTTGCAAAACCATTCTAATAGTGCTGGCTACAACTTGAGAGAAACAGCAGGCTGTGAGAATGTCTGAATGAAGTAATGGACGAATCGGTGATTCAGCTGAATGACTGCATGAATAAATGAAACAGTGATTGAATGAACGACAGAACTAATGTATTTGTGCATAGAGGTGTCAATTAATCAATCAACTAACGAATGAATGGTCATAAATAATGAATGGATAAACAACTGGTAGAACGAATGAATTAAATGCTGAATTATGGTCGATATGAATTCATCAATAAACAAAGTGAAGTGCAACAACTGGAATGCTGCATAAATGTACTCTAATTTGTCAGCGTGTAGTCATGCCAGAGCTTGTGTAACTAGCAGTTATAGCGTTCGATAGCCCTTAAATCAGCTATCCCTGTTTTCAGCGATAGCAGCGCGTTTTAGCGCAGAGTAAAGCTAATCCCTAGAACAAGAATTGATGAACTGAAAAGTAGTATATGTGTAACTCCAGTCATTGAATTTCACAAACTGTTGCCAATTAATAAATTCAGCTAAAAATTTTAGGGGTGTAATTTACAATAAGTAAAGTATTCATTCTTCAAAGTCAAAATATCTTCTCCTACATACAGCTGCCTAAGGATGCACATGAAGATATGTTGCCCGTGGCCATGATTAACCCATTAACCGGCCGAGGATGGTCTTGTACAACGCTTGCTACCGAAGCCATAGAAGCTGGAGTATGAGAATGGCATTAAATATAGCTGATTTATGATTAATAATGCAAAAATATGAATATTACATGAATCTCAACGTCACTGCAGTAATCGCAAACGAGATTACTCCGCATAGTCAAAGTACTAGCATCAAAATATCAACGATGAGGATCTCCTGTTATTCTGTTCGGAATTAACATGGCGAAGATGCACCGTCCCCTTGCTTATAGTAGTCTAAAGACCGTTTAAGCAGGTCAGGGGTCCATGGTTTTTCAGCACCTGCAGAGCGTGGGTGTAAAACCGCATCACTGAACGGGGACGAACAGAAACCTGTTTGGACAGCTAGTAAAATGCCGCTATCCGTAGGCATATGTATTCGTGCTTGCAGTTTGCTAGTAAACCAGCAATACTGGATTGTTTTTGTATATGATAATACGAATCATATCTTTTATAATCGTTGTGCATCAGTATTTGTCGGTTCCGGACAATGGATTTGAATACAATCCAAAACACGGAAATCGTTAATACTGTTACTACAAAATCTGCCTTGGAGTAGTCATTCGTTATTTACTTTTACTACGTGGAATAAAGCATTTTGTGATTCTGGCGGAAATTAAAGTCGATCCTCATGGAAACTGTATATTGTGTTTATAATTTGATCTTATTAATCATAATGGGATCTTTTTAATCCTACTTCTCAGCTCAAAAGACCATAGTCGGTCGATTACCGAGGTAATGATGTTCAGGAGCACTGCTACTTGTGCATTTTAAGACACTTCTCTCTTGGAGAAGATATTTCAACTTAAGCTAAAGATGGAAGCCAGTTCAAAGAATCGTTATGAAAGCATCATAGAAATTTGTTTCAAGTCTCGGGGAATATGTATCGAAACTGTTAGTGAGAATAAGGAGAGAAGAAATGAAGGATTGTCGGTGGATGATATCTTGGAATGGAAAAATAGCATCTTTCGCTCTACCTGAATAGTAAAGCCCTGGAAACCCGAATAATATTTTGTGAAAGCAAAGGATGACATTCTGGCGGTTTTGCAGTTTGATAGCAAGCACGTAATACCGTGCTTTATTTTTATTCACTCTTTGGGGGGTTCGGAGCGTTCCCTAAATTCATGTTATTTGCCGACTTGACATTGTCACGCTACATCTGCGCGAAACTATGATGAGAAATTGTTTTGTTAATAAGCAATGACACGAACAAAATCATTTCGTTTGGTACTTAAAAAAGTCATACGTTAAGGTGATCTGATCAGGTGGCACATATTCAGGCGTTACCCACATACGTTGCTGAAGTAAAGCTATGCCAGACGCAGGTGGAATGCTTTGATCAGTGGTTTTTTAATTAAACCTGATTGATTTGCACTTTCGACTCCTTGGGAAAAACGTGTCTTGGCGACCTAACAATCTGGATTATAAATGCGATCAGGGTCAAGTAGCTTTTTCGGCATGCTTCCTATAGCTTCTCTGTTTTTTGCGCATTAGA